CAAATTGTTAGTCATTTTAAAATCAAATTGTTAGTCATTTTAAAATCAAATTGTTAGATTTTAAAATCTTACATTTTTTTTTTTTTAGAAAAGAGATTCAGGTTAAATACAGGAAGTTTCGCAATTGAATAAACAAAGCAGCGGCCTCTCAGATGGGGAAAACTGGAGGATGGTGAGGACTTTGATTAGTAGGGATACTGGTTCTAACAGGAGAGGGATCCTCCTCAAATTACTAATGTTACCATGACATGGCCGCGGGAAGAGTTTGGGGAGCGTCACTTCAGCCACATTGCTGAAGTGGAATGAACAACCCACTCCCCTGACCAGAACTCCCCGCCCCTTGTTCTATTCCTCTGGCGGTTCCTCAAGGACAATATCTACCAGGATAACCCTCGCACCATTGCTGCATTGAAGGCAGTCATCACTGAAAAGGTTCAAGCGATCATCCAAGAGGAATGTGCAAAAGTTATCAACAACTCTGCAAAAGTGTCTTCAACTGAACGACGGACATCTGGAGCGTATACTCTAGGGTTAGTCTTAAATTTTTGGCTCATGCTTGAGACTAAATGGTCGCAGATACTAAAATTGTTATTCTTTTACCTTTTAATAAACGTAAATTCCATTACTCTGTCATTTTTGGTACTTGATTGTAAAACAAACACACACACACACACACACACACACACACACACACACACACATATATATATAAACACATTTTTTTATGTTCATACGTTCTTTTTATAGATAAAGATAGTTAAGTAAATGCTCTGTTTACAATAAAGAGTATTAAACAACATTTACCGGTCTGAATGTTCGAGAAATATTCATAGAAAATCTGCGCCCTCTGACATAGTGAATGAATGTCCGGCATATTTTCTATGAAATAATGTCTATAAAAAGAACGTATAAACGTTAAAAAAAATGTGTTAAAATAATTGTCGGAATTTGTTCATTTCATATATATATATATATATATATTTTTGGTCCTTGTAATTGTCTCTCTCTCTCTCTCTCTCTCTCTATATATATATATATATATATATATATATATATATATATATATATATATATATATATATAGAGAGAGAGAGAGAGAGAGAGGACGTTTCACAATTGTTGAAACAAAGCAGCGGCCTCTCAGATTTTCCCTGTTGATTTCATTCTCTTTCTCTTTTCCGATTATTGCTGGGAAATGGTTAACATTTTGATATATTCAACCAAATATAGCGAAACCCTTCCATGGAAGATGGAGCAGATGATCTTTTGTGTGAAGACATATATAGTGTTTTACGATTTTTGAAACAAAATGATTGGACACAAATCAAGAACCACAAATGACAAATGCTATTTTTTAGTGGATACTAGAATTTAGCTAGACGCAACGTGTATATATATATATATATATATATATATATATATATATATATATAAATATATATATATATATATATATATATATATATATATATATATATATGTCAATGTATATCAATGTAAATTCCATTACTCTATCATTTGCTGTGCTTGATTGTAAAACGAACAGTATATGCGGTGTAACCGGATATAAGAGAAACCCGGATATAAGAGAGATTGTCTCTGGTCCCAAATTAGAGCCTGTGTTAATGTATATAAAATAGACCAAACCCGGATATAAGAGAAACCCGGATATAAGAGACTTCTTCTCCGTTCCTGACAACTCTCTTATATCCGGTTACACTATATATATATATATATATATATATATATATATATATATATATATATATATGTAGAGAGAGAGAGAGAGAGAGAGAGAGAGAGAGACGTTTCACAATTGTTGAAACAAAACAACGGCATTTTAGATTTTCCCAGTTGATTTTATTCTCTTTCTCTTTTCCGATTATTGCTGGGAAATGGTTAACATTTTGATATATCCAACCAAATATAGCAAAACCTTTCGATGGAAGATGGAGCAGAAGATCAGTTATGTGAAGACATTTCGAAACTAAGTCTTTCAAGATTATTTCAAGCAAAATACAGAAGGAAATCCAATTCCAAGATATTTCCAAAGAGGAGTCAGATTTTCATGTTGGTCAAGAACTTTGAAGTTCATGGCACCTTGGGAAGATCGTAGAGCAATGGATTCCTTACCACGAGGAATGTGCACACGTTATCAACAACTATGTACGCCATATTAAACAGTGCCTTCAACTGAACGACAGTTCTCTAGAGTATGTACCCTAGGCCTCCTCTTGACCTTTTTGGTTCATACTTGACACTAAATTGTTGCAGATCCTAAAATGTTATTCTTTTACCTTTCAATAAATGTTATTTTCATTACTCTATCATTTGTGGTCCTTGATTTGTGCCTGATCATTTTGTTTCAAAAACTGTGAAACAACCTTTACAAGAGTGATAAAAATTATTTCAAATCGACACATATGCTATTTTCCGGTCTCCAGGAGTTACTGCCCGACATTGTGATGCAGGTCGCCATTTTAGTTTCATTCAAATTTTCCGTATAGGCATGTTTGCGATTGTGTATGTACATTTTTATTAAATGACGGATATAAAATAATTCAATCTTGTGTATATCCATGTCTCTTTTTAAATTCTTTTTAATCGAGTTCACTCCTAAGAAAGGCAGTAAAGCCACTCTGACGCAATACGTTGCGAGTTCAAATGTAAATTTTTATTAAATGACGGATATAGATTAATTCAATTTTGTGTATATTCATGTTTGCAGGTGTGAATGTATATTTTATCAAATGATGGATACTTAAAATATTTTTGTACAAAATTTAAAAAAATAATGTTTTTAAATATTTCTATTTGTTAACAAATAATTTCGCAAAAGTTCGAAGGTTTAAATTTTGTTTCTAATTTTGATTTTATAACTCAGTTCAGGGTAGTGGCAGTCCAGACTGAGGAGGGTGGGGAATAGAGTAATGGCGTCTTATTTTAAATTCAGTTAAATTGCGTGTGCGTGTGTATACATTTAATGACACAGGTGACTCTAAGTCACGTACACATAACACATACATACTCATACACATTACGTAGGTGAATGCAATGACACACGCAGTGGGTGACAGAGAGTATCGGGTGTTCTTTCATGCTGTAGAATCGAGAAGGAAATTTTGACTGCAGGTGAGCATCGTCCTTTTTATTCTTTGTTCTGGGAACAAAGAGATCATCCATCTTAGGGCGTTTTTGTTAGCTGTGGGGGGGGGGGTTGCTGAACGAATTGCTATAATAGATTGATAGCAAGCTTGATAATGCGATAAAAGAGGGTGGACTGACAGGGAATGGGTGAAAAAGACAAAGTGCGATAAGGAACGGATTGTAAAGATAAGATTGAATAGCAATTAAAAGAAAAGTCTGACATGAACTGGAATTGAAGTAGTTTTCCTGACACCGTTTTCTTGTGAAGGAGATGAACAGAACCCCCCCAAAAAAAACCCCAAAAAACAAAACTTTTTTCTATCATTTCACACTAAAGAAGGCAGTAAACATTCTACGAGACAAGGATTTTATTGAGTATAAAAAATATTAAAAAGAAAAAAAACATTATTAAAGAGAAGACAATGAAAAAAAAAATTAAGAAGACAGAAGATAACGATTGACATTGCATTTATATCTTTGAAGATCAAAGGCAATAAAGCCACTAGGACGCAAAGGGGTTACTGAGTGTTAGAGAATATGAGAAAAATACAATTATGGAGAAAAGACAATAAAAGAACAAGTATTAAGAAGACAGAAGATAACGATTGACATTGTATTTACATTGCATTTAAATATATGATGATGAAATGCACTAAAACTTCTAAGATGCAAGGGGTTACGTATTATTAGAGAATATGAAAAAAACTACTATTAAGGAAAGAGGACAATAAAAGAATAAGAATTAAGAAAATAGAAGATAACGATTGGCATTGTATTTACATCTTCGAAGATTAAAGGCAAGAAATACACTAAGACGCAAAAGGGTTACTGAACATTTTAGGTGTTGACCATCATAAGTTTATTATGGGAGCGATTTAATAAGTGTTCAATATGTGCACCGCCTGTGACACGGCAAACGTCAAGTCGGTTGTTAAGCTCTTGCCCAACACGTTGTAGCATGTCACAGGTAACATGATCCAGTGCGGAAGTGATTCTCCTGCTTGAGTTCATCAATGTTAGCAGGAAGGTCGGGGGACATAGACCGTTCCCTTCATATATACCCATAAAAAGAAATCACACTGGGACATGTCCGGTGACCGCGGCGGTCATTTCATTAGAAAACTGTTTTCATCTCCACCACGCCCGATTCATTTCTTTAGGGAGATTCACATTCAAATAACAAAAATAAAACATTAAATATAAAATCTTGATCTATTTCTATATATTCTGTGAAAATTTGATGTTATTTCAACAAGAATTGCTAAAGTTATTCGCCTGCGAATTGATGTCAAATTTTAGGGACACCCTGCACACACACACACACACATATATACATATATATATATATATATATATATATATATATATATATAATATATTTAAGCATTTCACCCCAAGCAAGGCGGGAAGCCACTAAGACGCAAGGGGTTACAGAAAATTTAGAGCAAGATCAGATAGGAGTGATAGAAGAAAGGATGAGGGTAGTGGATAGATCAAGGCAACTGGGGATGTCGATTGACATTACACTTGAATAGATGAAGATTATAGCTCGCAGGGAAACAGGAGAAGGGAAGAGAGTTCCACAGGCGAGAGGTGCGAGATATGAAGCTATTAGAGTAGAAGAGACGGCTACATTTAGGAGTTTCGACAGTGAAGGGGTGAGAGCGGAATGCCAGCCTCGTAGGGCGCTGGAACTCATGACGTCTGGGAACCAGCGAATGCAGCTCCTCGGAGCAATTTCCATGAAAGTATTTGTAGAACAGACAGAGGGAGGTGACGGCGCGTCTGTGAGAAAGTGACTGCAGACGAGACGCCAGGGCAGGGCCAACCACATTGCATATCCGCCTCTGGAGCCTATCTATCTATCTATCTATCTATCTATCTATCTATCTATCTATCTATCTATCTATATTGCGTCTTCTTAGGCTAACATTCTTGGCTGACATGAAGTAGCAAACTATACTGAATTCATTCCCAGGTCAGCTGCCAGAAAATTATTCTATAGCATCTTATCATGCATATCTATAAATCTATCATCAATCCATCAATATTGCTGCCAAAAAATGGCCTGGTAAACCTGTTATTTATCTAGAATTCCTTGACAGAATCCAAAAAATAACCAACAATATTATTGGCCCTAATCTGGCGTCTCGGTTTGAGTCACTTTCCAGCTTCCTTTTCTATAAATACTTTCATGGTAATTGTTCAGATGAGCTCTTTGCTATCGTGTCTAGACTCTTTGAAGTTAAGCAAAGTACTAGACTAGTGACGAGGTCTCGCCAATTTCCAGTCGAGATGTAACTGCAAATTCTATGCTAACAGTTTTTCTTTTCTCGCACTTCTAGGTTTTGGAACTCCCTTCCGGCTCCATGCTTTCCAGCCAACGTTAATCAGCAAAAATTTAAATGCATTATCAATCGATAGCTATTGATTTCCCGATTAGTCTTCTTTTTATCTCTCTCCTTCACAAGGTTCCTGCTCCTAGCTCTTCAGCACCCAGTAACCCCATGTGTCTCCGTGGCTTCACTGATTTGCTTGTCGTGTACTCGATTAATATATATATATATGTGTGTGTGTGTGTGTGTGTGTGTGTGTGTAAAAATTGAAGTCAACAGTGACTGTTTCATGCTAAACGCCATCGTCAGGCCACACGCGATGTGTTTTTTCTCCACTATTTATATATACGTGTCAGTGATGCATTGTGGATAGTCTATTGCATTGTGGGTAGTCTATTCTAACGGCTATTTTGGCGGCAGTGGTGTGTTATTGATTATTTACTTTATTTATTTGGATTAATTTATTTTACTTGTTTTTACTTATGTGTTCTATTTTACTTATTTTAAATTATACATACATACATACATACATACATATATATATATATATATATATATATATATATATATATATATATATAAGTCATTTTATGTTTATACATTCTTTTTATGGATACAAATATTTAAGTAAATGCTCTGTTTTTTTGTTTTTTTTTATAATAAACAGTATTAATAACATTTACCGGCCTGAATGTCTTAAAATAATTATCGGACTTTGTCCATTTCATTATATATATATATATATATATATATATATATATGTATGTATATTCGATTAAATTATTCTTACTTTTGCTGTATTTCAGCTAGTAGTATTATTAGAAGTAGAATTATTGTGACATTTTATATAAGATTTACTAGTTACAAATAGTAACATTTCACACTGCGTGATAAAATGAAAATTCAAGGTAATATTGCTTCTACTGGTCATAGAATGCAAACATGAATATTTTTGAAATAAATAAATAAATAAAGATTATACTCCTGGGTATGACGATAAACTACATCCGGCAGCAAGACTTCTTATCAGAAGATTTTTTGAGGTGTGTGGAACCACCTCTTATTGATCTTGTTAAAAAACTACCCTAACCCGGGCTCGTAGCACCTGTTAGATTCCCAGCTATGGGCAAATAGTGAACGCTCAAACAAAAACGAAATACTATGAAAGTATAAAGATACATATTCACAGTAAAAACACCAATTCATATATATATATATATATATATATATATATATATATATATATATATATATATATATATATATATTACCAGCAATACATTTTGTATGTAAATGAGGGTATATAATTGCGTTCAAAATATATTAAGTTGAAGCTCAAAAATTGTTCAAAATATTTAATTTCGGCTTTAAATAACTCTTAGAGGTTGATAAGCCGCTAAACAATATCAGCCAACCAAAAATAGATTAACATGAAAAATTCACGTAGAAAATTAATAATGCTTGATAATACTTTATCTAATCAAAATTGCAGATAATATTACTACTACTAATACTACGAGTGTAAATAAAGCAATTGAAATAAAGATGAAAGAAATAATAGTGAAAAATGAAGAATACTTGACAATGCTTCATCTAATCAAAATTGCAGATAATATTACTACTACTAATACTACTTGTGGAAATAAAGCAATTGAAATAAAGATGAAAGAAATCCTAGTGAAAAATTAAGAATGCTTGACAATGCTTTATCTAATCAAAATTACAGATAATATTACTACTACTACTAGTGAAAATAAAGCAATTGAAATAAAGATGAAAGAAATCTAAATCAACCATTAATCTTAACTAAATGTTCGCCATGTCATAAAATTAAAGAAAATCAAAATTACACTTGTACCTTTTGTATATGTTTTGCTCCAATAATCGTATTGTTAAATTTCAAGTCTTTATGAAAAAAAGAATCTAATAACCTTTTGTTATGTAACGTCTTTCTGTCTTCCTCCATTTTTTTTTTTTTGTTTTCCTTTTTCTGTTTTCCTTTCAATTCCTCCCATGGTTTCTAATTTCTCTCCTGTGTGGTAAATGATTACTTTGCAAATATCTATTAATGTTTGGTTTGATTTCCTTACAAGTATGACAAGAAGACGTGAAGCGGTCAAACAGTGCACATCCCAAATGTATATGCCTTATGCAAATCATGGAGAACAAAGGATATTTTACACTCTTCTGTCGTCTTTAAATACGGGTGACATTGTTGCGTCAACTAAGAAGAAAGGTGCAGGATTTTTTGTTTGCCAAAAACCGAAAAGAAAAAAAAAATGGATCTTTTTTTTTTTTTTTCGTGAATGAACTTGTCTAATTTCTCATAGAATATATTTTCATTTCAGTTTAACTCAAAACAAAATCAAAAAGCAAGACCAAAAAATATGTTAAAAATAAATTAATCGAGAAAAGACTAAAAATTATAAATGAGAAACATTTTATTTAAAAAAAAAGACTATCTCTATATTTTAATTTTTCCGTTATTGCTAAATAAGCCTAAATTTAAGAAATTTGGATATACACAAGATTGAATTATTTTATATCCGTCATTTAATAAAAATATACATTCGAACTCGCAACTTAAGGTTTCCTCACTGTGCCCCTTCTATAAATATTTTTAATTGTAATTGTTTGTATGAGCTCAACGCTATGATAGCTAGACTTTTTACAATTTAAGCGCTGTACTTGATTGGCGGCAAGATAGAGTTGCATTTCCGCTATCTCTATCTATAAAAGGCAGGATGTGTTTGTGTGTGTGTGTGTGTATGTGTATGTGTGTGTGTGTAACGAATGCACAGCGGCAATTTTCGACGGATTTGCAACAAAATTTACATGCACATGCTCCACGTTAGCGGGAAGGCCAAGACCGACTTTGCATTTCCCAACTCCCATCGATAGTGGAAATAATTGATTTTTTCATGCTTCTACGGCAGTTTTCATGTAGTTTGTGGCCATTTTCCACCGGCCAGAGTGAGAGCCTATAGCTGGCTGCCACGAATAGGCAGGAAGATTCTATTGTTCAGCGTGAAAGCCAACAGCTGACTGACACGAATGTTAACTAGCATGCTAGCAGGCAAAAAAAATCGATAGCTGCATTCGTCACAATTGGGAAAAAATTAAATCTGCATGGCACTTTACTCCAGTTGGCTCATTCGCTTGCTTAAACTCAACGTTGATTCTGATTCCGTAGAACTGGGTTGGGTGTGAAAAAGTATTTGTTGTTAACATTCTTTTTTCATTCGGTTTTTCCAGTTACGTGTCCTTTTTTTTTTACAGCTGATTGTTTTGTGTTCATTTTGTTTAGTCCTTTTTTCGTAACAGATTTAATGTTTAGTATAGTCTTAGAAAAAATTCGCAGTGTGAGATAGGCAAGAAGTAAGGCATGTAGCAACATCAGCACGGCAAAGGGATCTCCTTTAAAGGCAAGGAAGGGTAAAAATATTTTAAGTCAAGTGATATCGAGCGCTGTATGAGTTGTACGATTTTTGAATCAAGCACGGGCAACGCCGGGCCATGCTGCTAGTTAGGTAATAAAAGACAAAAATCCTCAGTTTGGACTGCTGAACTGAGTAATAAATTTGAAAATTAGAAACAAAATTTAAACCTTCGAATTTTTGCGAAATTATTTGCTAACAAACAGAAATATTTAAAAATATTCTTTTTTTAAAATTTTGTAGAAAATAATTTGTTCATCATTTAATAAAATATGCATACGCACCTGCAAACATGCATACGCACAAAATTGAATTAATTTATGTCTGTTATTTAATAAAAATTGACATTAGAATTCGCAACTTAAGGTTTCCTCCCTGTGTCCTTTCTATAAATCCTTTCATAATAATTGTTCGGATGAGACCTTCGCCAGGGTACCTAGACTTTTTAAATATAAGCGCAGCACTAGACTGGCGTCGAGATCTCATCAATTTACAGTTGAGTTGGTTTATGTAACCGTAAATTCTATGCTAGCAGTTTCTTTTCTCGCACTTCTCGTTCGTGGAATTCACTTCCGGCTGCAGTCTTTCCAGTCAGCTTTAAGCTGCAAAAACGTAAATGCAATGTCAATCGCTATCTACTGTCCTCCTGATTAATCTTTTCTCTTTCCGCTTATTAGTAATGTTTCTGTTCCTAATTCTTCTACACCCAGTAACATATTGTGACTTAGTGGCTTTTCCGTCTTACTTAGGGGTGAACTCAATTAAAAAGATTTTTTAAAAATGACATGGATATACACAAGATTGAATTATTATTATTTAATAAAAATATAGATACGCACCCGCAAACATGCCTATACGGAAATTAAAATGGCGACCTGCATCGCAATGGCTTATTTCCCTGTCGGGCAATAACTCCTGGAGACCGGAAAATAGCATAAGTCAAAATATGTGTCGATTTGAAATCATTTTTATGACTCTTGTAAAGGTTGTTTCACGAATTTTAAAACAAAATGATCAGGCACAAATCAAGGACCAAAAATGATAGAGTAATGGAATAACATTTATTGAAAGGTAAAAGGATAACCTTTTAGGATCTGCGACTATTTAATCCTAAACATGAGCCAAAAATGTCAAGAGGAAGCATAGTTCAGTTGAAG